CATTTTGACAAGCCAAGATAAAAGCATTTGCACCATTATTAATTTGAACATTAGGATCAATTCGTTTCCTTCAGCAAAAGTTGAACAATTTCAGTGTGGCCATTTTGACAAGCCAACATAAAAGCATTCACTCCATCATTATTTCTAACATTAAGATTAACTTTTCCTATCAACAACTCAACTATTTTAATGTGACCACTTGAACAAGCCAGCATAAAAGCATTTGCTCCATTGATTGTTTGAACATTAGGATTGACTTGTTTTTTCAGCAAAATTTCAACTATTTGAGTGTGACCTTTTCCACAAGCCAAAATAAAAGCATTCCCTCCATCTTTTCTTCGTATACTAGGATTGATATTTTCTTTCAGCAGCAATTCAACTATTTTAATGTGACCATTTTGACATGCCACCATAAAAGCATTGACTCCATCATTATTTGTAACATGAAGATCAATTTTTTGTTTTAGCAGCAATTCGACTGTTTGAGTTTGGCCATAGTAACAAGCCAAAAAGAATGCATTCAAACCATCATTATTTTGAACATTAAGATCAACTTCTTCCTTCAGCAGCAATTCGACTATTTGAGTGTGGCCATTTTGACAAACCAACATAAAAGCATTTACTCCATTATTATTTCTAACATTGAGATTAACTTTTCCTATCAGCAACTCAACTATTTGAGTGTCACCTTTTGCACAAGCCAACATAAAAGCATTCACTCCGTCTTTCCTTTGAATGTTAGGATCAATTTTTTCCCTCAGCAGCAATTCAACTATTTTAGCATGACCATTTTGACATGCCAGCATAAAAACATTTACTCCATCATTATTTGTAACATTAAAATTAATTTTTTGTTTCAACAGCAATTCAACTGTTTGAGTTTGCCCATTTTGACAAGCCAACATAAAAGCATTTAAACCATCATTATTATGAACATTAAGATCAACTTGTTCCTTTAGCAACAGTTCAACTATATGAGTGTTACCATTTTTACAAGCCAATATAAAAGCATTTTCACCGTTATGGTTTAAAACATTAGGATCAATTTGTTCCTTCACCAACAGTTCAACTATTTGAGAGTGACCACCTTGACAAGCAAACATAAAAGCATTCCATCCATTTTTCATTTGAACATTAGGATCAATTTGTTCCTTCAGCAACAGTTCAACTATTTGAGTGTGTCCATTTGCACAAGCAAATATGAAAGCATTTCCACCGTTAATATCTAAAACATTTGGATCAACTTGTTTCTTAAGCAACAATTCAACTACTGGAAAGTGGCCATTTTGACAAGCCAGCATAAAAGCGTTCCTTCCATTATTATCTTGAACATGAGGATCAACTTTTTCCTTCAGCAAAAGTTCAACTATTTGAGTATGACCATTTTCACAAGCCACTATAAAAGCATTACTACCACTATTGCTTTGAACTAAAGGATCAACTTGCTTCTTCAGCAAAAGTTCAACCAAGTAAGCATTTCCATTTCCACAAGCCAACATAAAAGCATTTACTCCAGAATAATCTTGAACATTAGGATCAACTCGTTCCTTCAGCAACAGTTCAACTATTTGAGCGTGACCATTTCGGCAAGCCAGCATAAAAGCATTCCATCTATTTTTCATTTGAACATTAGGATCAACTTGTTTTTTAAGCAACAATTTAACAATTGGAGAATGGCCGTTTTGACAAGCTAACATAAAAGCATTCCCTCCATTATTATCTTGAACATTAGGATCAACTTGTTCCTTCAGCAAAAGTTCAACTATTTGAGTGTGACCACTTTCACAAGCCACCATTAAAGCATTTCCACCTTTATTGTTTTGAACTGAAGGATCAACTTTCTCCTTCAGTAACAGTTCAACCAACTGAGTGTGTCCATTTTGACAAGCCAATATTAAAGCATTTCCACCATCATTGTTTAACACATTAGGATCCACTATTTTTTTAAACAAAAGTTTAACTATTTCAGTGTGGCCATTTTTACAAGCCAACATAAAAGCATTTGAACCGTTTTTCTCTTGAACATTAGGGTCAACTTGTTCCTTCAGCAACAGTTCAACTATTTGAATGTGACCGTTTTGGCAAGCCAACATAAGTGCATTTATTCCATTATCTGTTTGAACATTAGGATAAC